TATGTTTAGATAAAATATTCAATTTTTGTATGCCTGCCAATCTATTTTTACTATAGATTCTGGACATGATCACTAAACCTATCGTAGGGTCTAATGACTGTTTTCATTTTTTTCTTTTGGAATAACTTTTTTATAATGGCGCCAAGTGATCTAAATTTTTCTTGGATATTAGAGAAATTAATTTACTAGATAATGGGCTGAGAAACTGTTCTCAAAAATTACAATTGTTTAGTATAATAAAAGAATTAAAAAATGCTGTTTTTTAACTTCTTTATCTGAGCCCATAACGAAAATTGAAAAAAAATGTCTTGTTGTTCTTATGATACGTTTATTAATAGAAGTATAAAAATTAGGTAACATTTTAAAGAAATTATATTACTTTGGAAGAGCAATTTTCAAGATTGATTCAAATACAATTTCCGTCTCCGATAACTGTAGACTAATGTTATAGACAAATAGTATAGTTTTTCTCAACAATAACTCTTACGACTAACTCAAATAAAATCCCCTACTTAGTAATAAGTAATACGTTGTTTTATGTGATTGAAATTATTTTTTTGTTATCCATAATAATTACTGATGAGGGAATTTTTGGGGAGTTTAGTCATACAAGTTATCTTCTTGATAATAATTAACTTGTTAATAAGTAAGGGACACCGGGGCTAGAAGTTCCGTGGGTAAGTTGTGCCGGGGGCAACATATATTTCAAATAAAAAAAGAATTGTGTTATGCTTTCAATTGTCTTGAAAGCGAGGACCGATCACGCCACGCTGTCAACCATTTTAGTAGCGTCCGCGACAGCGAATTGTAGTTTTAGACAAGATAGTAGTCATGTATAATACTAAGTAAGTAAATATTTTGCAGTCACCATTTTTGTTGTCTAATTCAATTACTTAATGTTAATATCGTCTATTGTTCTGTTCTTATAAATCAAATAACATTTAAGAACATATTGAAATAGCATTTAGTAGAATATTTAAATATATGAATAGGATATTTTCATACATTGCCACACATGTCAAAAGACTAGTTGTTCTCGTCACTCAGGGCATATTGTTACCGTAACAATCTACCCCACCACAAATGTACAAATAGATCCTGTTGCGTTGCGATGTATTAGGTCTACCGGGAAGTTCTGTGCGATAGTGTCAAGTTTCAAGTTTCAATCCATATGCACATGTTGATTTGAGATATATATGACTATCTATCTTTATCATTGCATTTACACACATGTGCTCTCCTAAATAAACTGAAACAAAGATGTCTCATGCTATTATTAAGTGAGACGCGATCGTGAAAACATGGCTACCGATGATAATGCCAGACCACATACTGCTTTGGCGACTCGTCAGAAAATCGCAGAGTTAGGCTGGGAAATTCTGTCACATCTACCATACTCCCCAGACCTAGCACCCTCCGATTATCACTAGTTTCTCTCTTTGCAAAACTTCAAAAAAAAAAATTCAAAACTGAAGCTGATGTCAACCAAACACTAGTTGAGTTCTTCTCCTCTAAAAATAAATCATTTTTTAAAAATGGCATTTACAAGTTGCCATCACGCTGGCAAGAAGTCATAAGTAACGATGGAAAGTATATTCTACAATAAAAATATTATTAAATGTATGAAAATTGTGTTATATTTCAATTCAAAAGCGGACAGAACTTTCCGGTAGACCTAATATATTCTAAATCACAGTCCAAGGAAGAATGGATTTAGTGTACGTTACGCAAGAACAGGGCTCATACCAAATATACAGGGTGTTCCACAATTACTTTAACAGCCGAAAATGAGGGATAGCTGAGGTCATTTGAAGTAACTTTTTCCTTTGCGAAAATGCAATCTGCAGCTTTGTTTACGAGTTATTAACGAAAAACACTGGCCAATGAGAGGTGACGGTGCGAGAGAGAGAGTCCGCGAGAGAGTCCGCAGCACGAGGCTTTGACAGATGGTCGGGACGGACTCGAGCCGCGTTCGAAGTATTGAACAAATCACGAAGCGAGAACTTTCCGGATTTTTTTTTACTACGTAACAGTAATAGTTTTCAGAAAAACGCTGTTCACCTTTACTTTAGAACGTCTGAAGAATATTTATTAATTTTTCGGACCCGAAATAATAAGTAATTTAACCGTGACGGCCGTTTTAATTTTCTAGTGTGCATGACACCTTGTGTGTAACATGTGAAATTTTTAAGCAAGGTGTACAGTGAAGATTGACAAAGTACGTAAATGATATTTTAATTTAAATAATTCCGTGTCCGAACACAGTTCGACGAATGATTCGCAAAGCTAATTTAATAAATAATAATCGTGTTAAAGGACGTAAGGGATATGTTTGTTAGAGAAATATGAAGAATATTATCAATAAGAAACTCACCCATTTAGTTGTAAAATCCACTTCATGCACGGAAATGTGTGCAGGAGGATAGTGCATTGACCTCGTACAATGTATGATGAACTGCACAGCTGATCTGTATCCGACGGCGACGAACAGAAGGATATCTCCGGGCAGGCAATTTCAACGTTTACTTTCACTGCATTATCACTAAACACTGATCACTTATCAATAATATTTATGGACCAACTTTCCTGGGTTAATATGTATGGCCCTGAAAAGAGCCGATTGTTTTATGCGACGCGTTCGAAGTTCATATCGTTAAGAACACATACCGCGTTGACGGGATAAACTGCGGAAGACTAGCACGATGGCTGACAATGTTCGCGTTCGATGAAAAACAGTTGAAATTCGCTCGTAGGAGAACGAAACACAGTCGGCCATCGTGCCAGTCTTCTGCAGTTCATCTCGACAACGCGGTACATACGTGTCGATAACAGTGAGAACTTCGAACGCGTCGCATAAAAAAATCGGCTCTTTTCAGAGCTATACATATTAACCCAGGAAAGTTGGTCCATAAATATTATTGATAAGTGATCAGTGTTTAGTAATAATGCAGTGAAAGTAAACGTTGAAATTGCCTGCCCGGAGATATCCTTCTGTTCGTCGCCGTCGGATACAGATCAGCTGTGCAGTTCATCATACATTGTACGAGGTCAATGCACTATCCTCCTGCACACATTTCCGTGCATGAAGTGGATTTTACAACTAAATGGGTGAGTTTCTTATTGATAATATTCTTCATATTTCTCTAACAAACATATCCCTTACGTCCTTTAACACGATTATTATTTATTAAATTAGCTTTGCGAATCATTCGTTGAACTATGTTCGGACACGGAATTATTTAAATAAAATACCATTAACGTAAAATATCATTTACGTACTTTGTTAATCTTCACTGTACACCTTGCTTAAAAATTTCATATGTTACACACGAGGTGTCATGCACACTAGAAAATTAAAACGGCCGTCACGGTTAAATTACTTATTATTTCGGGTCCGAAAAATTAGTAAATATTCTTCAGACGTTCTAAAGTAAAGGTGAACAGCGTTTTTCTTAAAACTATTACTGTTACGTAGTAAAAAAAAATCCGGAAAGTTCTCGCTTCATGATTTGTTCAATACTTCGAACGCGGCTCGAGTCCGTCCCGACCATCTGTCAAAGCCTCGTGCAGCGATCTCTCTCGCGGACTCTCTCTCTCTCTCTCTCGCACCGTCACCTCTCATTGGCCAGTGTTTTTCGTTAATAACTCGTAAACAAAGCCGCGGATTGCATTTTCGCAAAGGAAAAAGTTACTTCAAATGACCTCAGCTACCCCTCATTTTCGGCTGTTAAAATAATTGTGGGACACCCTGTATAAAGACAGTAAATGCTGTATCATACATTTGTCCGAACTCTGATTCTAACGAGTCGTTTGACGATATCTAAATTGTTTCGTTTAAAAGGTTGTTTCTATTTGGTTTCCTAAATTATCATAATATTAGATTATTATTTTCATTTTACTACATTGATGTTTGTACCCAAGATTGCCGTTAATTAATTGATATTCCCGTTAATCCGAAGTTAATAAACAAACTTTATTAATAAAATTATGGTTTATTTCATCAGAGAATGAAATATCTCATTAGAAAGTAACATTTATTTCTTAGTAACAATTTACCTCAAAGCATTAATTACTTGCGTCACGACGGGGTAAGAAGTTCCACTTCAGTTGACCACAAAGGAACGAGTTTCTATGAAAAACTTATTGCAATGTATTAAATTTTTGAGTTGACAATCTTAAAGTAGAATAAATTTAACACAATGAATTAGTCAGAAACGAACAAAGTAACTACATTATTTCTTAGTCAATTTGTATGTTGTCTCAAAATTGGTACTTCTAACCCCGCTTTTCCCTAATGGTTTTATGTGAAGAAAATTCTTTTTTTGTTGTCCATAATCATTATATATAAAGGAATTTTGGAGACGGAAATTCGATTTTAATCAGACATAATAAACTTTTTGAAAATTCCATCCGAATCATAATTTCGTTAAAATTTTGCATAGTTTATATTTCTATTAACGCTAAATCTATCGGGCAATATAAAAATATGAGTTTGCTTTATAAAAATGACAAGACTGAATTTATTTGGTCTTTTAATTATTGTTATTACCGTGTAAGCTCGATTTAATAATTTCGCTTTTAGTTATAAGTTATAACTAAAAACATTTGGATAAAAGTGATAATTGTTATGCAACGATTTTCAACACTTTGATTATAACAGTTACGGATACTGTTTTAGCCAATTAAGTACGGGGAAAGTGCATAAAATCCGGACTCTGTTTGTTAGTTTAATTCTCATTGGTTATTTCATTCGTGGCGCTAATTCAGTGTTCCGCTTAACAGGATTCAGTGATTCAGAGTGGTGGACAAACGAAAGCTGTTGAACGAGCGCATCAACGCACACTGAAACGCTGCAGAAGCTCCAGAGGAAGGAAGCACCGTGTCCTGTAAGGTTAGTAACGTATAGTTAACCGTTGGTACGAACACAGAATGACATCGGTCGGTTCCTAAATTCTCTTAAGCCAGCTGAGTGAAAAAGGGAAGGCCGAGGAAGTACTTTCCTGATTTGTTAATACCCGCTGGATTTTATGGTGGATTTAACTGGTGATGTTACCCCGTGATTTATTTTCGATAGCATGGCAGCGAGGTAATGGATTTTTCGTACCGTCCTATTCACCGTAATGAGATCAAATGCTTTTACCGTTCGCTCCAAGAACGCTCCGAAAAAATTCGTTTCATATAACAAAATTTCCGTTTGAAAGCTTGCTCGCATTTGAAAGAACAATATTAAAACAGCCGGATCCCGACTCGGATTAAAAATCCTTTCGAGGAGGATACTGCCGGCCACGAAATAAAAAGTAATAATTAATCACTCATAGGAGAATTCATGGAAAAATGATAAAAATACTATGAAATATTGTAACTCATTTTGTTGCAATTTTTCTGTTACATTTCCTTGGCAAAAGAAATGGAAAACTCATTTGTTGGAACTGTGATAAATTAGAGTTTAGTGGTCGCTCGCCACAGGCTGTGCGAGAATCGCAGTACGTCGATGGTACGTATTGAGGCGCAGACAGAAGTTCGATAATGGACTGAACGGTACAACGAACAACAAATATGTATTCTAAACATTCTGTCACTGAGTAGTAAAAAAGTTACGCGTGTTCGAATATTTGGCAAATAAGTCCAAAATTTATTTGCCAACAAATCAACACTTTAATACAGTGAAAGCGATGTAAAACTATAACACTAAATCTACAAAGTATTAACAATGAGTGACAATTATCGCTTTGTAAGAATGATGAAACAATATTTATTTAGACTTTTCGCCATTTTTATCATAATTAAACTGCGGATTTTATGCATTTATGATAAGAATGACTAGGTGAAATTCCTGGAAGCGAACACGTTGAAAGAAGTTAAGGACATTTTTACATTCTCCATCATTTATTTAAATCATCGAAGAAAGAAAGAAATTTTTATTCGAATCTTGTTTCTTACAATTGGCTTAGACAATTTTTATTTTGCATAAAGATCCGCAGTCTAGTCATAATTAACAAATTTATGTAATCATGAAGACTTTAGTCTTTATAATGTCAACAATTTTGGAATAATACAATAATTGTGAAATTGCTCATTTCGACAGACAATTTTGGGACACCCTGTATATACAGTGGGTATAGAAAGTATTCGTACATCTTTTAAAACAGAATAACTTTTTTATAATTGGGCAAAGGGGTCTAAATTTTTTTGGTGTGATAGTAGGATTAGCCTACTAGACAGTGACTGAAAAATTATTTTTAAAAATTACAATTTGTTGACATGATAAAAGAATGAAAAAATGACATTTTTCAACTTTTTTATTTGAGCCCAGAACGAAAATTTAAAAAATGTATTTTGTAGATCTTAGTAAGTTATATGTATGCTGAAAATTTTAGTAAACTAATCACTCTAACATGCCCAAAAAATTTAGGCCGCTTGGCCTAATTATAATAATGTTATTACGTTTTAAAAGGTGTACGAATACTTTCTACACCCACTGTCATCAGAGTAGAGTATTATTTGAATACAATTTTAATTGACTAATTTTTCGAATAACGTTTCGAATAAATTTTTCAGATAAAATTTTCTACCAATAGCATTGTACCTAATCGAATTACCTAATGAAATTTTATTCAAATAAATTTTTATTCGAATTTTGCGGACAAGACCTTTGTGTATGCTTGAAGCGAACACATACAAACAAAACAGTGACACTGGGTTATGTCCCCCTCGAAATAGAAAATCTTTCGTATGAAACATTTTTCCAAATCTCGGAAGGTAGGAATGATGTGAAAAAATGTTTCAGACAGAAATTGTATAGTTTTGAGTGTAGGACATTGTGCTGTAAGTTATTTAACCTTATGATAACCTCGGAAAAACTTACAAAGGTCGGCGTCAAATTTTTAAATCAGAATCTGTAATTTTTATTACTTACTATTGTAGCGGGCAACAAGGCGTTTTCAAAACACTACCTAAATGTAACTTGTGCGTAACTGCTTTCCGAGATATAAACTTTTTAAGTTAACGCACTGCCGGCATTAGCGTTACCCGATGTACTCCGCAGGGAGGTTCCACGGTCGAATTGCCCGATACACTAGTTCCCTTAAAAAGTTTTTATCTCGGAAAGGAACAACGTAATACTTACATTTAAGTAACGTTTTGAAAACGTCTTGGTGCTTGCTACAACAACATGAAATAAAAAGTACAGATTCTAATTTAAAAATTCAAAGCTGACCTTCGTAGGTTACTCTGAGATTACCACAAGGTCAAATAAATGACAGCAGAATCAGCTTCCCTCGAAAGCATACAATTTTTTTTTTCTGTCTGAAACATTTTTTCATATCATTCATACTTTTCGAGATATCTGTCCTTGTGGGAGATTGAGATGGGACACCCTGTATATATTTGTACATTCAGACATGTATTAATTTAACTGTTAAGTAGAGGATCCTGAGATACTTTTAATAACGAATGACAATGGATCTCAATAAATGTACAAATCAAAATGTTATTCCTAATATCGAACAATTTTTCTTTGAATAAAATAATATTCGAATAACATTTCAAATAATGTTTTGAATAAAATTTCATCCGAATATCGTTCCTAATAAATTCTCCGAAGAAAATAGTATTCGTTACTCGTTATTCGAATAAAATATGCCCACCTCTGACGTACACGATTATTTCTGTCTACTGTATACTCTTTTCAAACAAAATTTCTTGATAATCCACGAACTTAGGTGGAAATGTATGGGGACCAATGAAAATTAGGGTGATCTGCTGCTTACGTAACGTCTACGTCGCGAAAGTTGCGTTCGTAAGTTCCAAAAACATCTGTTGTACTTTCCGCAAGAAACGACGTTAACTCTTCAAGTTCTACGAGAGTGCATATATGCGCTCAGCACAGGATACTCACTACAGCTTTTAGGCGAATATATGCGCTCCGATTAAGGAGTTCAGTTTGGCTTCTAAGCACATATACAGGGTGTTCGAAAAATTGTGGCACAACCGTTAAGAAAGTGATTCCTCGCATAAAATTGAGTCGAAAATGAAGAATAGAATTTTTTCTCACAGGGCATCATGTTCGAGAAAATCGAGTTTGAAAATTTGTTAGGTATGCGTATTAACAATATATATATTTGTTAAGTACAACATCGAGGGCGTCATTTTCAGGATTTGTAAATTCTAAAAAAAAAAAATTCTAATAAATCAGTCATTGAAATTTACAGCTCACCACATATGTTTATTAATTACTTACGCTCACTATTTGCCAACTATAACGCGAATTTTATAGATTTATGAAAAAGATGGAAACGTGAAATACAAAATAAGAAGAACATGAGAAAAATAATGCTATTTTTAAATAATTGAGACTATTAAGAGAAGAGATACATTCTTAATTAGTTTCCATTTTTTGAAGTTGATAAAAAAAATTTTTGATTTTCACGAAGATATTCTAACTGGCATTGTTTACAACTGGAAGCTATAGTGGGGTTTGACAAGCCGGGCAAACGAAGCAGAAGCGTGTCTATATAAGTGCACGTAACAAATGTTTCAATTCGATTGTCGCAAAGATGATGCTCTGCATGAGAAAATTTCATTGCATATTTTCTAATCAATTTTATGCGAGGAATTATTTTCTTGTCGGTTATTCCACGATTTTTCGAACAACCTGTATAAGTGAGCCGCTTTTATTCGTTAGTAAATACGTTCAACGGTTTGAAGCAAACGGCCTCATTTTAATAAATACGTACCTTCTACTAGCTATGCTCTGTACGACCGTTAAATATGAAATAGCACTCGTAGACAGCGTTTGATACTTAGTTTTATTTAGGTCGGACCACCAAGAGAGCTTTTAGATGCGCTGTTCCCTACTGAAAGGATTACAGACCCATAAACTTCACAGCGCGTGGTCTGAGACGTGTAAATTGTCGACGGGGATGATGTTATTGTGACAATTTCTAGATGACAACCGCTGAGAATTGTCAGTCGTACCATAAATTTGAAAAGGTCAGTCACAAAGTGATTTTTCAGTTACAAAATCAAACGCAATGTTCTTTCAACGGGTATAAAAGATTTACATATCTCGAAATCAGAAAATATCCGGCTCTAGAATTGAAAATTTAAAAAGAAATTAATTCATTCCGATATGCGAAGTAGAAGTTAAAATTCAAGATATATAATTCATATATAATATATATATATATATATATAATTCAAGATACCTCGTTGATTACGAAGAAGAGATAGCGTAACAAAATGCATAACAAATTTCAGCCACAAATGGAAGTACATTGAAAAAGTGGGCTAAATTAAATTGAATAATTAAATCAATTTCTGAAAGATTGAGTACATATAGTAGTCATAAATGCAAAAAGGCAGCTCTATGAAATCGTTTAAAGCAACGAGAATTAATACCAAAGTTCCGTTTACGTCAACATATTTTATTCTTGCAGAGGGTGAAAAGTTCTTTTACCATCTTCTCAGTATATACGGTTGAAGTTTTGTAGAACTCTGAAGGTTTTCAATTACTATCCTCGAAAACTGTGATGTTGAAGTGCCATAAGGGACCTTTCGATAAAGGAGTAGGCAAGAGACACTTTGGTAACAGAATCGGTAGTTTCCATCTGTCAACGTTAACACGTGTTGCTACCGCTTGCTATCTCTTCACTTCGTAACCCAATCCTGCTGACATACGTACATTTGCGTTGTCCTAACTAGGTCATGTGTCTCAGTATTTTTCGCCAATAGGACTTCTTCGTGTCAGGTCTCTGGTCACATGTTTACATTGCGGGTTTAAAAGTTAAACTCTTCTAACCATTTTTTTTTCGAAAAAAATGCACAATTATTTTTATTTACTTGAGGAATAAATCATGTCGATCTAGAAAGTATATACAGGCTTTGCAGTAA